TAGTCTTCCTTCATGGGTCCGTGATTTTGATGATACTGTTTACTCATTCTTGGTAATATTTATCCAAGTAGGTTTTTGAATCGAAGATTTCCACGCAATATGAGTCGTGCGCGAACTCAACTTCCGTCGTCGATTACTAATAGCCCAACGACCAAAGAATCGATGTTCATATGTTAATGGTAACTGAAATTGTTGTCAATTTGGGTGCGAAAAATTGTAGTAAGTGTGAATTGAATATGCATGAATGGTTGGCTTAATTCTTCAAACACGCGAATCAATTTCCGTCGTCAATTACTAATAACAGATAACACAACAAGATAAAGAATATAATCTAATAGATTTCGACGTCGCCGATCACAACAGTCAAGAATAGTACATAATCGTATTTAGCTACACGGTAAAGATAGCAATATTTAACAAATGCGTAAGTTTCAAAATGCAACTTGTAAAAAAACGCTCTTGCACGATGAGGAGCGAAGAAAAAGTATGTCTAATCAAATCAATTTTGTACGGTTAGTATCGTTTCGTTTTACTAGACTAACCGTTATTACACCCATTTTACGAATCCCGTTGTCACATAGACTTTTTTTGCACAAATAAAATATTAGAACTTTTTTATAACCTTTTTTGCTCGGACTCATAATATGGTCGATTTCTTATCAGCAGTACGACAGAAGCTGTTGATTGCAGTGCCAACTACCTCTCTTAATCTTAACCGTGTCGGTTATTTACAGGTCATTATTATAGGCATACGACAATGTTTAAACGGAGACTAATCGTGTAATATTGGGAATATGATACAATATTGTAAGTGTGTAATTGTTTAATATTTTAGCTTTGCACCATTCTGTGTGCCATTATATACTTTAAGTCGGAAAACAGTTTTTGTGTTGTCGGTTGCTAAAGCTAGTAAAAAGGAAAGGTTTACATTACGTAATTGATAGTATTGGCTGAATCTGAGTCAATAAATAAAAAATTGTGAGTTCAATCTTTACAATATGTTGATTAACCTGAATACTAATTGAGAGTTCAATCATTACAATATGTTGATTAACCTGAATACAAATTCCCTACCATCACCTGCCACTAGCTCATGTTTAATATCTAAAAAGTCCAAGACTATCGACAGTGATGTAAGAAGTTGTGATAAGAGATTCCAACAGATCAACTAAGCTCTCCCGCTGCCAAACACGCAATATATAGGATAATTTTCGAATGCTAGAATAAATTTGAATTGTGCAAGACATTAATTTGTAAATGACATCGGTACCCATAAAAAAATAAGCATGACAGGTACAGCGTAAGCTAGCGGATATCTTGCGTAGCGATCAAATTTAATTATTATAAAGACGACTTTTTCGATTCAGAGCCGCTGCTAAGCGGGTTGTTAGAGTTACAGCCAACAATTTAATTTTGTAGTAATAGTAATGAATGATATCAATAGTAACCGTAAAAGCATATAGAGTAATTTGCAAAGTTTGTAGTAGTAGCGATGTGTTATATTTTGATATGCATGTTATAAAGGACATAATCTAACTGACTTCCTAAATACCAGCATTATTTTAAGTCTTTCACACAGATACTAATACATGTTAAAATCAAGAATTTACAAAAAACTTTAAAAGACTTCTTAACCCACCACAGTTATATCAATGTCTATTTAAATATATACAGGTAACATTAAAAACCCCATTTTTTGCCATATATGACAACACCTAATGTATAATTTTGTTGATAAACTTTTTGATACTTTTTCTTTTAGGCTTCAACGACCTATCCGATTTCTTATCAGGTTTCTTATTCGAGTGCTCGAGTTCGCATTCTCCACTCTTTTTTATGCGTAACATATAATTAAAATCTTCCAATGCCTTGACATATTTTTTCAGCCTCCAGTAGAGAAATACCCTCCTATTCAATGCCCATGTGTTATTCGGTTCAATTTCCAGTGATTTATTCAAGTCAGCCAGAGCTTCCATATTCTTTTTAAGCATGATATTAACTTCTCCCCTTAATCTCAATGTAAACGCATTATTTGGATCAATGTTCAACGAATCATCAAAATCTTTCAGCGAATTTTCATACTGACGAAGCCAGTAATAAACATTGCCTCGTTTGCTCAGAGCCCATGCATTGTTCGGCTCAATTTCTAACGATTTGTTCAAATCATTCAGTGCGCTATCATATTTCTCAAGCATACGATTGACTTCTCCTCTTAAACTCAAAGCTTGCGCGTTTGGTATGATTTCGAGTGATTTATCGAGATCGGTCAACGCCTCGGGGTATCGCTTAAGACAATAATAGACCTCTCCCCTTTTAACCAATATCCATGTATTGTTAGGTTCAATCTCCAACGCTTTGTTGAAATCTCTCAATGCGTTTTCATGTTCCTTGAGCACGTAACTGACATATCCTCTTGCTCCAAAAGCAGATGCATTCTTAGGATCAATCTTTAATAATCTATTAAAATCATTACGTGCGCTGTCATACTGTTTAAGCTGGTGATAAACGTTTCCTCTTTTACTCAACGTCCATGTATCGTTCGGATCAATTTCCAGCAGCTTGCTGAAATCGTTTAACGCATCGTCATGTCTCTTGAGTATGTAATTGACGTCTGCTCTTGATCTTAATGTCTTTGCGTCGTTCGGATTAATCTTTAACAAGTCGTTGAGATCATTCAGTGCAACGTTATATTGACCGAGCATGTGATAGATGTCTCCCCGTCTTCTCAACGCGACCGAATCGCTTGGTTTGATTTCTAGTGACTTGTTCAAATCACTTAACGCTTTGTCATACAGTTTAAGCCCGCAATAGACAACTCCTCTCCATTTCAAGGTAGCCGCATCATTCGGTTTAATCTCTAGTGACTTGTTCAAATCGTTTAATGCATCGTTATAATTCGTAAGCATGTTGTTAACCTCTCCTCTTCTTCTCAACAGAACTGCATCGTCTGGTTTAATCTCCAACACTTCATTGAGGTCAAGCAAGGCATTGTTGCATTCGCGAAGTTCAAGGTAAACACGTACACGTAAGCTCAAAGTAAGCACATCCTTTGGCTTAATCTCCAATGATCTATTGAGATCGATTAATGCCTTGGCATGTTCGCCGTTCCTGTAGTATATATACCCTCGTGATCTCAGCGCAACTGCATTATTTGATTTAGTTTCCAGCAATTTGTTAATGATGTTCAAGGCATTTTCACACCAATCAACTGTGCCAGCGTTTTGCTTTCCAATCGCCAACGTAAGAACGTCTTCGCTTGGGTTATTCTCACAATATAATAGCGTGTCTCGTACAACCTACAACAATATCGGAAAAGATTAATAAAAGCCTATTTCATCGTTAGATGATGGCATAAAATGCAAGTGAGGTTGCTTACAACACAGTAATCCGGTGGATCAATCTCCATAACTTTAAACTTTACGGTACTTGTGCCATTATTCGCAAGAAAGAGGTCATCTTTGCTAATCGGCCGGCATGCGTCTCTGAAGTACGGTTTGAGGTAGCCTTCGAATAAATTGTTGACCACATTCCAATCCGTGTTATCAAGCGGCCGAAATTGAATGCGAAGACCGTATTTAATGGTTCCAGGAAACGTTCGAATTGCTAGTGGATCACCTGGATTCACACAAAGGTCTTTTCTAGCAGCTGAGTGTAACGTATAACAAAAGTTGTCAATTTCACTACACTATTGACTGCCCACCGGCACTACACACAACATTATCAAATACCTTCATTAGTCTTGACAATTGTATCTCTACAATCTTCATCGGCAAGTACAAGAAGCGTGTCATCATGTCCTCTCTTCTCGCTCATCAATACAATATCTTTATCGACTAACTGTAACTTTTCCATCGCCGTCGGAGAAAGCGATATTACCGATTTGTCGTCTCTGGTACTAATACAGTTCTTGACAGAAAACTCGTTCAATGGTGGATTCTTTCCTTTGGAAAAATTCAAAAACCAATGTTGAGTAACTTTCTAACCAATCACATAAAAAACCCCTTATTATTATCTTTCTCACCTAATATTGGAGTTATAAATCTAGTTTTAGACAATAAAAAAATTGCTCGTCCAGCCTTTGTATACAATTCGCTGGCTGTTGGCGAAGTGATTGACGGCCCATATTCAGCTGAGGGCGTTCTCGGTCGGCTATCGTCCACCTTTGAGTTTGGGTCTAATGGAGATTCACTGCACAATGAAGACGAAAGGGCCAATTAGACAAGATGATAGCATTACAAAAGTCGAACAAGATGATAGCATTACAAAAGTCGATATGCGAAATATGGAATCTCTGATAACCTTTCCCAAACTGTCACCCCACAGTCCATCATATTTTCCAATGCAAAGAGAGACAAGTATATCGAAGCTTCTTTCCGTTCCGTCATTTTACGAATACTTTTAATATATTTATCAACGTACAGTATATATATACTAAATGCCAAGATATTGTCCGTGTCCCCAAATATGTTCTTGATCGCCCAAAAAGATCAACTTTGGTAGCCAAGAGATTGTGCGCAAGTCTGAATTGTGCCAAGTTGTTGTCATTGAAAAGCCGGATTGCCGTAATGGGTACTGTGGAATAAACATTGACTTCTGCGGGTCGGACCACATTGGGATGCTGGAACCTTTATTGGTTGGCCGATCAAACAGTTTGATCATTTAAACATGAATCGAGAGTAAACCGTTGAATGCGTTAAGTACTTGTCCGATGTTTGTTCAAAGTGTCAACCACGTATTAAGAATAAGAGAATCGAATGACGGTGAAGAATAACCGGAACAAAATTTATATTGTTAATGACGTCTTAACTTGACGGAGATAAAGGACGACACAGAACGAATGTGTTATATTCTTCGTGACGATACCAGCTTGAACTTGATGCGTTCCCATTAGATTAGCGCCCTTTAGAATACCTCATGACTATGTAACAATGCATCTGGTGGTGTAACTTGGCTAGTTGCGCCGATTTATGTCACACAAGTTAAAGACATAATTGTATGCCTACAAAATAGATTATGAGACATTCATAGGTCTTGGCAAAATAAGGTATGATGAACAGCTTATAATCTACGTTAATGTTGTACAATAAAACCCATGACGCAAATGTTCGGAATTTCTGTTCCGAAGCCAACAGATTTATGCGTATCCCAATTTGTAACCCGGCAAATTTCTGTCATTTATAATAAAGAAAAACTTTTTAACAATTATGCAGAGTTACATAGGTTTGAATTTATATTGTCTATCACACGTCCAAGCAATATAACAAAAACAAGACGGGCCATGTAACACAAAATGATAGAAAAAACCGAAATTGTTACTTTGAAAAATTTCCTTCACAAACCATGTTGACATTAATATCCAAAACCGGAGAATTAAAACTTGATTTAGAGTAAAAATAAAACTGAACGAATTTTTTATTTAAAATTACCGACATAGGATCCAATCAAATTGACAATATCTACTACAGTTGAGAGTAAACCGCTCCGATGAGTCTTCTAGTTCACTACACAAGTACCAGTACTCGATACAGGACAGCAAATTATGTGACATACACGTGCAATAATTCTTCATGTTTGTCAATTTTTAACTACTGTCCGCTTATTTAATCCTCAATGGTGAAAGCTAAGCTTGTTTAATAATTTGCTGAAATGGCTAGCTCAACCTGTCTGAATAATTTTTGCCGATGCAAAAAATTTAATACTGTATCTATTGATACCAACTAACTACACTATGACTTATTGTTTCCCACTCTTTACGTTTTATTTCACTTTCGCTACTCGACTTCTCTCCGTTTTGTTTATAATAAATATAAAGCGTTACATAATAATTACAATATGCGATGACATAGGTCTACAATCTAATTACTTGAGAGAAAGTTTTCCGTTATGGTGAAATCTGACAGTACGCGGAATATTTTTAGAACCATAGACAAATTTATTAATAAAATTCACATGAATTGTTTATAAAAATTTGGTTCTTGACGATTTGATTTATTACAGCCAGAGTTCCGTTAGCCAAGTTTCTTGTAGATAACTTAACTATACGCTTAAGCATACGATTTGTTAGAACTGATAACTTCTACATTTTATTGAGTAGCGGTCGGTCATGGACGGGATTTGGTCCCTGAATCCTAAATAACAACATTTATTGTACCGTATAGTTGAATTTCCGCTTTATATCACATGATCCATGACTTTAAATTGATGTAAAGCTGATATTACAACCCTCACCGCATAATAACAGCGAGACGCATCATCAAACACTGCTACTCACGTGTTTGAGGTAACGGGGGTGATGTAACACATAATGGTCAGAGAATGATCTCTGACAGTAATGTTACTTGAAAAAATTTTTTCATTCAACGCAACGCAATGTCGTTAGTTAAGGACATTCAAATCCAGACAATTGACGATTTGATTCAAGTCTCTTTAGAAAATAAACACAAACTACATGAACTTAGATGGATTCCCTACTCGCAAATTACCGACATAGAATCAAGTCCAATTGACAACATCTACTACGCTATTCGCACGTTGGCGGAGTACGAAGACAAAGTATTATTAATCTTAGTTGGAAACGACGAGACATGTACACCATCGTTTGTGAGTGAGTTTGCTAGAATATACTCACTTCCGACGGAAAAATACAAGGATGATGTCGGTCAATTTAGACGATATTCCCAATGGATGCGCAACTCATACATAATGGGATTCACTAAGCACGACGGTAATTGCTACATGGTTGCTTGTAACCTCTTTTATCATCATTACTTTCGATATGGATTCTGCCCTGCATGTGGAATACTCCGATGCGGTCCCGTGTGGTGTATTTGCGGGCATAAGGAATTATCCGATGGGTGGACTAGCAACAACAAGCGACTCGATGAGTTTATCAAGAAATCTCAAATGCAAACCAACTCTGCAAATGATGCCTATTTGGAATGGATTCCGTTTGCTTGCATCTATAGTCATAGGGGATTTTATAGGATTTTACGTGGTCTACCTACTGCTATGACTGTTAAATTGATTCCGCTTGATATAACTGACGAGGCAGATGATTCATATTTCGATAAGGTAAGCTATTCTATTCAATGTTGCATCATGTTTGTTGAATAATCGATGGCTTACTTAATATACCGTATCACTTCCAATAGTTGTGTGATGAACATCCTGATATTCTTAACAAAGATGTTTGGCTTACTATTGGACTTACGTATGATGAAAGTCAACAGAAATATTGTCTGATAAAGGATATTGACGAGTGTGGATTGTGTCTGGGGTGTACATGGCGATTGAATCCTACCATAAATGCATTCTGTTACGAATGTATATCGTCGGTACCTCTCAATTGGACTACGGGCAACAAGGCGTTAGATCTATTTATTATGAAATCGTGGAGTAATGTAAAGACTAGGCACGACGCTTATATACAATGGATAGAGTATTCTTTATTGACAAATGTACAGGAGACGACATCGTTACGCCATGGATGCACACGTATGGCGGATTGGTTAGAGCCGGCAGCGAATGAACCGACAAAAGTGACGCTCAAACGGATAGTTGACGGACAGAATGCTCAGTCGTTTGATTTCTATCAGGTAAACTATCTATCGTTTATCGTTAAATTGTATCAGTGACTTTAATAATGTTGCATGTGTTATTACAAAGACATTATATTAATCTGTTTATTCGACTAGCTGACTGAAGAATATCCGTCGATATTAACTCCAGATAATATCTGGGTTCTTGGCATCACTCAAGAGACATCTACTCAAGATTATTATTTGGTGTTCTACAATGACGTGCATGCATTATTGGACAAATTTATACAAAGTGTCAAGTATATAAAGTGTATGCAGTATACTGACTTTGATGAGATTGAGGAGATTGCATCTGGTGGTTATGGAACAATCTATACTGCTAAGTATGAAAGACATTTGGAAGAGGGTATAGAAAAAACTGTTGTCCTCAAACGTTTCAAGCATTTTGATCAGTCACTGGAATTATTTATTTCTGAGGTAAGTAATTTTTGACAGTATAAATCAAAATGACACTAAATCTAACCCTTGTATTCGTCTTTGTCTAATATTAATAGTTCAGAAATCATGCCAAGTGCACATTTGATGAAGTATTCCTTCTTATTTATGGATACACACAACACCCAGAAACAGCAGAGTACATAATTGTTATGCAATATGCTAATAGTGGCAACCTATTGGCTTACTTGGATCAAAACATAAACAGGCTGACATGGAGGATGAAATTAGAGTGTTTATATGATGCTGCATATAATCTGGGTACTATCCATTATGTACTGGGATCTGTACATTGTGATCTTCATGGCGGAAACATACTTTTACATAATGATTCATCTAAAATTATCTCATATATATGTGATCTCAGTCTTACACAATCAGTGAATTCATGCAAGTCAAAATCAATGGTTCAAGGTGCTTTACCCTTTATTGCACCAGAAGTCTTTCATACTCGCAAATTTACTCAAAAATCAGACATATATTCTTTTGGCATTATCATGTATTTGATGGCCACTGGTGAGCCACCTTTTCAAGACAAAAAATTTGATAGTGATTTGATGTGTGATATTTTAGGTGGGTTACGACCACTGATGCCTGATTCAGCACCAGAAGAATACAAGGAACTTGCACAGCAGTGTTGTGATGCTGATCCTGACAAGCGACCAAATGCAGGGCAACTTTGGGAGCATATTTGCGGCCTTATTACTGAGATGGATGAGGGTAATACTGATGATAACATGTGGAATGCCATTTATCATAAGGATTCAAGACCAATATTATAGTTTGAGAAGTAGGGTAAATATAAATACCCTTAGTAAACACTTACTTAATATTACTATAGAAGCATTTTGCCTAAATATAAACCAAGAAACAGCTTCATTTTTTCAGAAATTAAAATAGAGTAGGAGGCAAGTATGAAGACAAAAATTAGTTACTATTATAATTACTATAACCATTTTGTTAATATGAATGAAGTTAATTTTCAAATTTTGAATAACTTGTAACTTATGGTTTATTTAAATAAATATTGATGGTCACACTTATCATAGTAATACATAAGTTTGCTAGCATGTTAATCTTGTCTACAAGTATAAAACACAGGATAATACACTATTAATAATATTAATTTAACAAATGTTGAGTTTAGATTATCAATCCATGAGACGCTTTCTTAATGCAAAAAAAACCCCACACCCGAATCAATAAAGATGTTGTTATTATTATTCATTCATTCAGATATTAAGTATAATCAACAGACGTTAATATTAACACCAAAATATTGAATCATCATCTTTTTTATTAGGGTTGGTATATCTCGTAATTTCTAATGACAACGCCACTGAAAGTGTTACGGCAAAAAGTGAGTCACATGATAAAATCTTCCTCCGCAGTCCCCCGCAGTCGTCACATGGTCGATTTATAGTACCTATCGCGAGTTCACAACAAAGGTGCTAGCTAAAGCACCAGTTTAGGCTGTTTTTATCTATGTAGAGGAAGAGAATAAAAGCTCAGGGGGTGGGGGTTATTGAGGAGATGGGGGGAAATATCTGGTTTTAGAGATGTGAATGAGTGATTGAATCTTATTAGGATGAATCCAGGGGGTAAGTGGATCTATCTGTAAATTTAGAGAGCATAGAAAGAGTATACGTCCTAGAAGTTGGTTAAGAATGTCATCATGGCTGGGAGTGGGATTGTGTCTGAAAGCTCTTGTGGTGAAAGCATTCCAGAGGGTGAGCATGGCTAGGTCTACCTTAGCCGTGCTTAATAAGGACACACAAAATCAGGATGTGGTCCAATGACTCACATTTATCATAATTATTTTCCTGAACTTTCTGGTCTTCATTCTTCCTTAGATTCCTATGGGATATATTCTATCTTTATATAGAATGGAATAATTGTTAACTTGTACAACATTGGTCGAGTCAGACCGCAGTTAATGAATTGCAGAGGGTTTTCTAATTTTGTTTGTTCTTTTTTTAATTTAGTTTTCTTCTTTTTTTTGTAATCCTCCTTGGTTATATTAGGGCAAGGATTTCTTTCCTCTTCAGTTTTTTTTTTGTTTACATTTTTGGCTAATGCTGAGGACAAGTGTTGGATGTGAGAGACATTATAACCAGGCAGGTGCAGGCTATTATTACTGATCACACTTTCCCAACATTTAACAGACAAGACAATAAAAGACTGATTCAGTGCTGATGAAGACAATGCACACATTCCTATTGACCACTCTGATGCACTTTGCAGAGCTTGAGCGAGTTAGAAAACTTTTGGAATATAGCCAATGGGGAAATCAGCAAAAATTACTATCAATAACTGAATTCAACAATCAACTGACTATGACTCTCATGTGAATGAAATAGAAAGATTGGAGGAGCGATTACAAACAGCATATGATAATACAATTTGCAAGATGCACTAAAGACATAAAAGAACAAAATTCTGCCCTATATTAATATCTGGGCGGACTCGCAGCAATAACACTGAAGTGTCTCTATAACGTCAAAAAAAAAAATACATAACCCATCATCATATGCATGGAAAGTCCGTAAATACTATGAGCCTTATTGAGCAGTGGAATTTGCACTCTGACAAGCAATTGTTCAATATTAATATTTGAAGAGATTGAGTGAAAATCTTTATATGAGGATGTGAAATCCTTGATTAAACACCACTCTGGCCGTCCATAAATACTCCACTAATATAATTAATAATAAAATAATACTCACATACTAATACTATACGTAAAATTCTATCGTGGAAGAGTTATATGTACAGTCAAGACTGGATATAACGATAGTGCAATATAACGATAACTAACGATGAAATTTGTCATTACCAAAACGTACTCATTTAATTTTACCTGGTTATACCGATTTTATTATTAAAACCTCGTTATTACATATAACGATACGTATACGATGTACCAACAATTTTGTAGCGATATATTTTATACCGATATTTTTGTGTGACATCTGCCTATGACCAATCAAAAAATGTACAACCCATTTCGAGTATCATAACATATTCATTTCCCCGAATTTCAGACTTTCAACGTCTAATATTAAAAACAAATGTTATTCAATAAACAAACTTTTTCGGTTACAACTTGAAGTTAGACGGAAGCTACCAGCGAAAACACCCGATATCACAACAAAACGTTTGAGAACACGTTTGACCTTTGCACAAAAAAAGGCTGTTTGTGTTAAACTCTCTAGTAAGCCCAGGGAGAGCTTGCCGAAGAGTATGGAGTTAAACAAAATACAATTTCTGATATCTGGAGAAGTGGTTGGCAATCAACTCAGAGTCAGAAGAGTGCAATAGGATGAGTAATCGTAAACCATTATTTCCGCAAGTAGAAGCCGCGTTAGTTACGTGGATTACACAAGCTCTTTCTGATAATCAAACTTTAACAGGAGATATTTTACAGCTCAAGGCCCGACACTTCGCACAGTTGTTAGAAATTGAAAAAATTACTTGCATCAAACGGTTGGCTACGTGGATTTAAACGAAGATTTCAAATACGTTTCCATAAAGAACGCGTTAGAAAGCTTGGATAATGTGTTCAATTTTCTCGTTTATCCACCCGCAGGTTTTAATTGCGATGCAAGTACTGTATCGCTCTTTACAAAAACAAGTGCTAATGCACCACATCAATAATAAGAAACAGTCAATGCTAGATGGTTTTGTTATCAGAATGTAGTTTGTAGTATCACCGAATCTTTTCTTCAATAAAACTGAATATCAAACAAGATAGATCATATCTTGTATAACGATTTTTTTTCGTAACTACTATGTTATCGCTATAAATAGAATTCTTGGTATTAACGATAACTCGCTATAACGATGAGACTGTGACCTAACGGGAGTATCGTTATATCCAGTCTTGACTGTATATGGGAACAAGTTATGTGTCGAACTACACAACTTCGAATTTATATCGAAACACTCAACTCATCTCCTTACCCAACCACTTCCATCATCAGCTTCAGAAAAGAGATCGCGCAAACGGTCAGCCCAAAAAATTCAAAATAAAAATAAGGAAATGATAACGAGCCAAGAGGCGGCTGCTGCTCCATCAAACCTCTGAAATAACGTCCTCAAAATTAGATTATTCCCTAATATATAATAATAACGAATCAGGTTGAAATACACATCTCTTTATACCAATAAGTACAATCTTCCAGTACACATATAATAATATAAATAACAAAACAAAATGAAGGCGGCGCAAACTTCCAACAAATTATTTCTAGTTATGAAGACCAAATCCTACATTATTAATTACAATCTCTACGTTTATCCTTTCTTTATCCTCCCCCGTTGTATTTTTTTCAATGTTTACATAAATTACAGATAACATAGTCCATAAATCTGCCCAGAAAAGTAAAAGTGAAATTGGATTGATTTGTGCTTGCAAATTATAAAAGACAAAATAAAAACCAAATCCGCTCAAGATGCAACCCAGTATTTTCCCGACCACTGGACTCTGCGTGCAAAACAAAATACCAATCACTATAGCGCCAGCAATTATGCTAACAATTGTAATTACAATATCATGAATAGAAATGTGAAAGTGAACTCCATACTTAATCAAAGACTTTATGGAAAATACTAAACCGCTAATAAATGACGCAAATATCAATAGAATTGGTATTGTAAGTATACAACAAAAAATAGAAGAATTCGAACCATTCGGAAAGCAAGCATTTATAAAAAACACTACTGCGCATGTGAGAATTATAGCTTCTGCAAATAGTAAATAGGAAATTGATATCTCATTAAAACTGTCCGTCGCAAAAATGAATAACGGTGGAAAAATCGCCAAAATTAGCATGCTTGATACTGGAAGAATTATGCCGACGACCGATTTAAATATAAACGTTAACCAGATTGTAATAAGTATGGACCAGATGAAAGCCGATGTGATAATGGTTATTTTGTTGATGCCAAATGTTGCGTATAGTATGGAGGGTATCAAAATGAAAGGTATGACAGTTGAAAAAAATAAGGTGACATAATTTTTTAGTAACGGATTATTTGTTGTCATGTCAATTATTCTTATTGTTAAAATAAGTATAATGAATAAACTACCAATAATTATGGAAATTATGGTAAGCTTATTCAAGCCTTGTGTTATATAAAAAAATATTGATGGAAAAATAAATGATGTAAATATGCCAAGGGTAAAAGCGATTTCGCTTCTCAACCTTTTAAGTTGAGGTATTGGAATAAAAGCAAATAAAAGAACAATCGCGACAACGATATAGGGAAGATATTCTTTTATGTCAAAGTAAAACATATCATGAATTGGCATTCTTGCCAATACGACCGGAAATAAACCAAACAAACAGACGAGGCATTTGATTATGTTTACCAACATGATCTTTTTGATAGAAAAGGGAAATTGGTATTTGCCATTTGAAAAGAAGAATTTTTGTTATTTATATAAAATTTGTGGCGTATGGCATGTAATAAAAGACAATGACATCTTTTATTTCATATCTGAAACAATCAGGTAATATTATCAAAACTCCGGAACTAAATATAGATATACTAATTATCGTACTATAATAATAATTCAAGTGTGATATTTTATATTAAAAGGTTGTCTTTTGAACGTTTGTTCTAACGTAACCTTTTGAGATGCACTTCTTTATTACGATGCCATTTTTGAAAAAAAAAATTTTGTAATGCATATGGTTGCATTATACATAAACAGAAATTTAACAATGGAGACTTAATTCTCTTAAGACAATAAGCAACATCGGAAAGTATTGTAGAGTATGGAACCACAAAGTAAACCTTTTCTGCATGCATGTAGCTAACCGACTAAAAATACATTTGATGATACAGAATTTTGATGTAACTAGATAAGCGGCATTTACAATAACCTTGGGAGTACGTTATATGAAATGGTTTGTGGAATTTGTGCTTACCAAAATTAGCTGCCGCCTGTTTGACGAAAAGCTGCCAATGAGGAGACACGTTACAAATTGAAGGCTATGAATTGTACAGAGGGGCATTCGGTATATTACAGTACTCGAAGTAATATCAAACGAATTTGTCCTGGACTTTTTTTTACTTTGCCTTTGATAGTCCTTCTACGCAAAAAATGCAGTCTACTGCATAAACGTCTAATCTAAAAGAGATTCTTGCATAAAATTTCGGAAAAACATCGGGATCAGATAGAAGTTCGTGGAACATGCATATCCGGCGGTTTATTGATCAAGATTGATAATGCGTCGTTCTATATCTGGGATGGGAGAATCGTTACATAATCTATTTCGGGTAATAAATCTATTTCGGATATGTATGATCTATGTCGATTTATTTCGGGTGTACGATTTAATTTTCCAGTATGCGATTATGCGTACGTATAAGGATGTACGACTCGTCATGTGCCCGATAAATAACGCACCAAACTATGAAAAATCACCTCTTTATTAAGATAATGTAAAATGCAAGATGGAAAAGGTACATATAGCGACGTCTAGTAATCATCTCGTGGAGTGGAAAATCTTCCATTTGTCTTCTGCGATGTTGAGATAGACGCATGATATACCAAATAATTTACCATTGTTCTATAATTCCGACTGACATACAATAATTACACTAACCCGTTCGTATAGTGGGGGTGTGTGTGTGTGTGTGTAAGTTAAGGAGACCCATGGTAAAAATGGGGTAACGCATACATTTTTAAGAAAATTTAATTTAATCTTAGGGGTTGTTACTTAGTCGATTCGTTACCTACACTTCACCTGCAATATTACCACGCACGGTATGGATACATACACTTGTTACAATGGTCAAGCAATCAGTCAAAGTTCCTCTTTTTACAGCTGTTATGTGAGCAAGCTAAAACTTTAATATGACTCTGACATGATTATCGAAATCAGATCAGGAACTTAAAGCATACTAATATGGACCATAAGACGCAAAACACACCGACATTATTATGTTCCATCTATTCGTGCATAAACAAGTAATAATTATTGGTCAATTCTAAAAGGCGGCTTTCGTACGTTGCATCCATCCATCTCATATAACTACTGCTAACCTTACTAACAACAATTTTAAAGATAATTGGTGTAATTTACGTAATATACTGCAGCAGCTAGTTGTGACATTTAATTGTGCATCGTATATTTTACTCACTTATTAACAATGTTGGAGACAATCGGTGTAATTTATACATAAGCTGTAAAATAAATTATCGATTATCACACGATGATGATCATTTCTGAGAATGCGCGGGACTATTTCTTATAAGAATAAGCCTTATGTAAACATCAATAAGCCTATACCATCTTTAGGAAACAAGATTTATGGCCGTTTATGAGAAATGGATAACACATGATTCTGGTAATGTTCCCAGTGCTTTAGAAGTCAGTCATCAAACGACAAGTAAGGTTTTCTGATTAAAATAATATTCGAAATATTCACTGCTTTATGAATAAGAAAATGCACTGTGTACGAGTCTTTAATCTCCAATTGATAAGTTGATTAAACTCTATACGTTAATCCGTTCGTACACTGGGTGTAAGTTAAGGAGACCATTTGCACATATACTAATTTGCTCGCATTCAGTTTATGTATACATAAAATGATCCATGGAACCACATTTCGAGATATTCGAGTAATGAAATTAATTCTAATAGATCAGACATTTTTGGTTACCTTTATTAATAAGACGTTTGACTATTGATCAAACAGGACAAAACTGAAGTAGAAAACCAAACAAATTTACCATTATTCTATAATTCTGATTGACATACAATAATTATTGAATAAACGTAGATCTCGCTAATAGAATGCCTGACTTAATGTAAAATAGAACATCGTAACGGCTATCCATAATAAAGAATTTGCTTTAAACTAACAGATCGAGTATGTAACATTCGAAATATTTGCTTCTATATGAATAAGAAAATGCATTCCGTTGACCTAGTTAATATCCAATTGATAAGTTGATTGAGCTCTCTATACACTAACCCGTTCGTATAGTGGGGGGGGGGGGAGTGTACGAACTTAACTTACACCCGGGGTGTAAGTTAAGGACACCCAATATTTACGCAAAGTAAAATAAAACATTTATCTTCAGAGTCGCAAATACTATTTGCAAACATTTCTGCTACAAATGCTCGTGTTTATCAACATATTAGAACGAACGCAAAGTTTGTGATAAACTTTTACGAAGCATTAATAACTCAAACTTCTTCAGTTAAACACTAACTTTGGAAACAAATACCTCTAAATTATGCCATTGATATCGTACAATATGCGTACTCCTGATTAGTGTCCTAATACTAAACTGAGGGGACTTTCGGTAATAACGAAGCGGCTCAACCAATGAGTTGAATAAAAATACATCGATATGATAATGATTGGAAAAGTAACATTTCTTGTCGCGAGAAAATGAGCAGTGGCAACAAATATATTATACAAAGCTGCCGTGACTATGTGCAAATACAACTAAAATCTATTTGCATAAACGTTAGATAGGGAATGGAATTAAGAGCAAAATTAACCAACCAATTTTACACTATCAAACTGGGCTTTTGAACGTATGTTTCAATTTGTTCGACTAAACTTTTCTACAACACAATTTTTCTAAAGCCACTAATGGGTTAAAGCCATTATCCTGACATGTCATACAGTCCAGGAACGGAACATTCGTTACACAACCCGACAGCCGGCAGATAAAAACCAATAATATTTCTAGTTATCTATCATAGTGAGGTAAACCGTTATCATGTCTCGAAAAGGAGGGTAAATATTCTAGTAAACGCTTACCTACGAGAGATCTACCTAAACCAAGAACTTGTACCAAGAACTATGAACGAAGACATGATGGTCAAGTTACGCATCCCCTCAGATAGTCTTATTTTTCTAATATACGTACTTTAATTTATTTAATTTTATATATTACATGGTTGTCCGCTATAACCTTACTACATTAACTAATACTTTTAATAAACTTTTTCTTCAATTATTGTTAAAAAATATACAAAGGTACTGTATTGATATTAATTAATATTATGATATTTAAATGAAGTAATGGGTAGATAATAATAAAACTATTGCTTTCAGTCGGCATGCCAAGCGGGAAACTCGCCAATCATCTCTAACTAGCTTCAGGGACAGATCCTTCACAAGCAACTAAGCAATCACCGAATCGGTCCCTCAAACTC